GAAGAAGAAGAAGAAGAAGACGTATTTCCAGAAATTGTAGATAAATTGTAGTTAAATTGTAGATATATTGTAGATATATTGTAGATAAATTGTAGATGAATTGTAGATTGGGAAGACTAAAACTTCTACAAATCTTCTATAATTATGTCGAAAATGCCAATTATGCTACAATTGAAATGAGAATTTGGATATTAAAATTCAATGTATCTATTTTGTAGATATCTTGTAAATAAATTGTAGACTATTTGTATTCTGATTGTAGATGCATTATTTTCTATTTTCACAAATCCAAAACGACTAAAGCTTCTACAAAATCTTCTGCAAAAATAGTCTACAATTTATCTACAATTTTTCTAATTTGACTACAATTTGACTACAAAATATCTACAAATTCTTTTTACCTGTTCTCTATCTCTAATCTACTTCACTAGCTTATGTTTGCGGTCACTTTAACTTCCTAGCAGTGATTGAGTAGCTACCGAACTTGCGGTACATTTTGTTTTTATAGTTTGTAATTACCTTATGAAGTGGAGTCCTCAATGACTTTAAAGTATTACATATTTTATTTTAAAAAAGGTCACTACTTTTGTGCATCTAAAATAACCATATAACTAGACTTGTCGGTTACATACAAACTGAACAAGACGATGAAAATTTACGCGCAATCTCACATATATTGGGCTTTGACGTAATACTGACGCTTTCTGGACTATGCGCAAAAATAGGGTGTTATCACTTTTAGCCTGCGTCCGAAATTATTTACATTTGGTAGCCGAAAAAAGTATATAAAATTTATGTAATTTTTGTATATAACATACAAAATGTATATATATACAAAAATATACAAATTTTATATATTTTTTCGGCTATTATTTTTACGGCGGCCATACAGCGTGGAACGAGTGTTACCGGGATTCCGGATGCCGCACTAATTTTGATATCAAAAATCAAACTTCAATTGATAAACCGATACTTGATAGTTGATAGTACTTGATACTGCACTTCACTTGAATACTTGATATGATAATAATAATTTTGTAATGGCTAAACTAAATATTTGATGAAATATGAAATAATAACTAATTGTGAATTTAAGAATAATAATCAATAATATCAAGAGAGAATTGAGAGAGAGTTAGAGTAGTAAGAGAGAATTGTGAGGAAAAATGAAGAAGAAGAAGGGGGGCTATTTATAGTTTTTAAAAGGTTAAAATTGTAATTTTTCAATTATTAGGGGTGGGAGGGCTATTTTTTTAATGGGGGAGGCCGAAATGGCCATTTGTACAAAATCTGGCCGTTGCCCAATGGTCATTTCTGAATTTGACCGTTGGCAACGATCCACAAAATTAAAAAAAAAAAAATCCTGTAATACCGAGCTGAACCAGGCTGCAGCCCGTTAACGGTTTAGCAGGCTTAGCGGGTTTCGTTGCATTGATATTCAAAATGTGTTCGTCTGAAACCCGCCCCCTCCCCCGGCCCAGCCCACACCAATATGCTACAGTAACATGCTGACCCGGGCCAAAGCGGGTCAGCAGACCCGATTAACAGGTATTCTTAATGGCCCTTTTAACATTTTGGATGAGAAAAACACCGATGCATGAATTATGATGAGCCATGGACCACGGTGTTGTATGAGTATTGTGCAGGAGATTCAGAACTTATACTTTGCCAGAGGAGCATTGCTCGTCGGCATATTATACTACAAAATCAGCCATAACTTCTCAAAACAAGAGTCAACAAACTGCCGGTGAACATGAAAGAAATTGTGAAAGCTTGAAGTTTACACGTGTTTATTCTTTTAACAAACGCCATTCCGGCTAACTTTCATATTCAGACCTGTAATGACCCAATCACCTATAGACATTTTGACGTAATCGAATACAATATAACTGACTGAAAGAAACAAAAAATGGAAAAGAAGGAAAATGTTATGCACAAAGATGACAATTACCAACTACAGATACAAAGAGGATTTTCCCTCAAAAGAGTCAGTCCTATATGTGCTGATGGCAGTATAACTTAAAGATCATCTTGGCCCCGACAATTCATCTGGTCGGATATTTGAAGTGGAGTCGGCTATTATCCAATCAGTATGGGGCTGGTGGACATTGTTGTAATCTTGCCTGAACATCTCCTCCTTTTGCCATTCCTCCCACCTCTCAGCAAGGCCATCGCCTTCAAGCATTCTAACAACATCCGACATCTTTGGACGTTCTGTAGGCGTACTCTGCGTGCAGAGTAGAGCTACCTGAATAAGCTGCTCCACCTCTTCTTCATTGTAATTACCTTGGAGATCTACATCAACTAATGTTTCATATTTCTTGTCCTTCAGGAGTCCCTTCACCTGAATATCCAGTGGAATGCTGTTATAAGCCAATTTCGGCCGTGCATGTAACTTCACGAGTGAAAGCTTTGACTATAAAAGCCAGTAAAACAACATAATTCAAGTGCCATTAATTTGGCAGTTGCGGAGGTAGTTTGCTGTATTTGAATGAAAATGAAGGAAGTTATATTTTTCTTCTAATCTTCAGATAGCACTCAGAAGTGAAAAGTGTGCTCCCACGGGCAAAAATTGATATATTACTAGGATGTGCAAACTAACTAATTAAGCTCCGTACAAATCAAATGGAGGTGCAAATTTCTACACTAGTGACAACATGAGGGAATGATTTGACAGTCTGAACTGTTGAAGCACCTGCAAGTATAAGATGATGAAAGTAATCCTCTCTAATCATAATCTACATGCTCGTGTGATTTTAGCAATAATAGGTTTTCATTTGAAACATCTAAAACTAAAATGAAGTTACAGTGTATTGCAATACAAAGGTTACTTGCACAATATAAAACCGCAACAATTAATAAGCAATGATGTAGTTCTTGAAGGGAGCCCAGCAGTGCTGAACAACTAACACTACAGTACAAAACGATATCAAACTTTGACTTATAAAAGAGAAGAGACAGTTGGCTTGAGATTTTCAGAACAAATCCAAAATGCCGATCAAGCAAAACAACTAAAGCATATAGGACAGTATAAATGCTTACCCAATCAAGCAACATGACATCATCATCATTCGCAAGTCGAGCAAGATCAAAAGCCCTTTGGCCAGTTATGAGCTCTAGAAGCATAACCCCATAGCCAAACACATCCGTTTTCTCAGAAGATTTACCAGTGGATAAATATTCAGGGGCAATATGCCCAATTGTACCACGTACAGCAGTGGTAACGTGAGTATCCTTGTAGTCCATGAGTTTAGCTAACCCAAAATCCCCAACAACTGCTTCAAACTCCTCATCCAATAAGATATTTGCGGCTTTGACATCACGATGAATAATCTTAGGATCACAATGATCATGCAAGTAAGCAAGGCCTCTTGCCGATCCAAGTGCAATACGCTTCCTTTTTGACCAGTCAAGTGGGGGCTCCGATTCAGGCCGCTCTACAAGAATGTAATTCATCCCATGAGAATAAATTCAAGCTATTACGCGAACTGGAAACAGGTTCCTGTTTTAAGCTTGAANCCCAAGTGCAATACGCTTCCTTTTTGGCCAGTCAAGTGGGGGCTCCGATTCAGGCCGCTCTACAAGAATGTAAATCATCCATGAGAATAAATTCAAGCTATTACGCGAACTGGAAACAGGTTCCTGTTTTAAGCTTGAATAAGTTTTAAGAAGAAAAACTGATCTTTTCAGGTCAATAAAACTTTAAAAAAGGGCAGCCCAATGCACAAGGCATCTCACGTTCATGCAGGGTCAGGGGAAGGGCCGCACCCCAAGAGATGTGATGTGGACAACCTACCCTGCTGCGAGCATTAGTGGTTTCTTCCACTGCTCGAACCCGTGACCTATAGATCACACGGAGACAACTTTACCGTTGCTCCAAGGCTCCCATTCCAAGTTATAAGGCATCATTATCTCCAGCTTCATACAATAATAAAATTTATTCTCTTTTTTAAGACATCTAATTGTTTGGTTGACTTACAAATGTGATCATAAAATTACATCTTAATCAGCAACTCAAATCTTTGATATTCAGTAAGATATCAAGGATAGCACCTCTTGTGAAATTGGTTGATAGAATCATAGAATACTAGCAAAATCATAAGACAACATCGACTTTGTTGACATACAAGTTGTCTAGCACATGTATACACATGTACTACATCATAGCTAGCACATGTATATGAGTTGTATAGTAGGTGTAATACAAGTTGTGTAGCAAATGTATACACATGTACTACATCATAGCTAGCACATGTATATGAGTTGTATAGTAGGTGTAATTAGGTGTATGACAACTAATAGATTAGGTGAATTAGTATTATAAATAGGCCTTGTAATCTTATCTTCTAGATATGAAATATAGAACTTCTTTGGTTTCTAACATGGTATCAGAGCATTGAAGTTTTTTCATCAGTTTGTTGTTGGGAATTTTTTTTTGCTTTGATTCTATTTCACTATTTCCGGCCGCTTCTTTACAGATTTTTCTACTCACTATTCCGACCAAAGTGGTACTGTCAGAATTTGTTTTTCCTGACAACTTTCATTTTCCAAGATCACTGTTCCGGCACTGTTCACTGTACTGTTCACTGTTCACTGTTCAAATATTACTGTTCACTGTTCACTGCACTGTTCAAATTTCACTGCACTGTTCTTGACTATTTGATTATGCTATTATTCGGGTGCAAGATGACTGAAACGAAACCTACCGTTGATGTCATTCCGGTTATGTCCAAAATTACGGAGAATAAGTTCATGGTTCCCAATTACATGGATTGGAGTAAGACGATCCGTCTTTATTTGCGGAGCATCGACAAAGAGAACCACTTGGTTGATGATCCACCCAAGGATGAGACTAAATCAGTCTGGTTAAAGGAGGATGCAAAATTGTTTCTCCAAATCAAGAATTCGATGCACAGTGAGGTAAATGATCTAGTTTCTCATTGTGATTATGTGAAGGATCTAATGGATTATTTAGATTTTTTGTACTCTGGCAAAGGAAATTTGTCTCGCATGTATGATGTGTGCCAGGCATTTTACCATCCATCTATGCAAGATCGCTCTCTCACCACTTACTTCTCAGAGTTTAAGAAGGTGTATGATGAGCTTAATGTTATATT